AGGAACGCCGCGGGACGTGACAAAACGTCGCCATGTTACGCCTCGGGAGTGAGAACGGGCTCGATTTGTCATATCTTTTCCGTTTTGTAATCGGCTTTTCTTTGGCTGCCTCTTCTTCACCCTGACCTGTCTTATTTGGCTCTGCAAAACTAAAATACCAGCGTAAATCCTGCTGCTTTTACACACATACTTACATAATGATCAGCGATTCTTTGCGCACTCAACCTCTCACATGTTTAAGCTTGCTGCGAGAGATTTCACTTGTCGCGTTTGAATAGTAAGCTAATGAGTGATAAGACGATGTCAGAGGAATTGGTGCGCAATTAATCGTCACTCACCAATCAGTGCTGCCGCTCTCTATACACCGTTCGCGCCATCGCAAAATGAAAATGAAAGCAAAAAGCAAGCGCAAATTCAAACGCGATTTCAATATGTCACATATTGACAGTGGCTTATCGATGCCAATGACATAATTACTCAGCTACATTGGTGAAAGAATGCAAAAGCACTGACATATATTTTCCTATGATAGCCCGACCGGGCAGGGCTGAGTTAGATTTTGGTAGCCCGACTGGAAAAATCGCTAGCCCCGGGACGTCGGGCTAGCGATTTTGCGAGCCCTGGGTTGGTTTCTGTGTTTGGGCAAATTAAAAATAAATCTACAAAAGTACTTAAGAGGAATTCATCTTAGTTTTTTCTGTAGGTTTTTCTATATATGGAGCAGAAATTGCACTAAACAAAGCTACAGGATACATTGGATATTAAAGCAAGAGGAATGCTTTGAAGCACTTTTTTTCATTCTTTCACTTTGTCGTCTGATGACCAAAAACTCCCTGTGCGTCCTAGCCTTTAGGACAACATGTCAACCATGCCGTCTCCCAGGAAAGCCAATGTGAGATCAGTTTCTATTTCCTTGATAGGTTTCTATTTCTTGATGTACTCAGATGCTTGAGGAGGAGTTTCTGTTCGCTCCAACTAAAGCAGAACTGCTATTTATTATTAAGCACAGCTTCAGTTCAGGCTGGAAAGTAATTTAGGATGCTTTGAGAGCTTCTGTGGATATCATTGTTTTCGGGAAATGAGGTCTAGGTTTACAGTTTCTGCTTGTTTTGTTTTTTATGAGCTGTTCCTTC